TTTTTGTTGTTAATTTGCATTTGTGGCTGTTTTATTCTTTTTTTTTTTGAATTTCGGGTTCATAGTGTTTTTAAACTATGCAGTTAATAATTGGTGTTTTTTTGTGAACTGGATAAATGTTGATGTTTCATGCTTTTGAGATTAGAAATTTTCTCTGCTTTTGAGAGAAACTCTCCATGCTTCCAACTGTTTTTTTCACTTCATTGGTGGAGAGGAAATAGACAGTTGATTGGTGAGGAAGTTGGATTAAATTTGAGATAATATAATAATAATAATAATAATAATAATAATAATAATAATAATAATAATAATAATAATAATAATAATAATAATAATAATAATAATAATAATAATAATAATAATAATAATAATGATAAGAGTTAATTCTATTTTTGGTTTGTGCATAGATGTAAGTCACTGTCTGCAACTTAGGCTAAATAGATTTTCCTTTTGGGGTGTTAAAAGTTGTGCAATGTTTCATACATGTGGGTCCCTGGTTTGTGCATAGATGTGTGGCACCATGTGCAAGTTAGGCTAAATGGAATTGGCATTGTGGGGTTTTCTTCTGTATGCTTGTGCGGGTTTGGATTGTGGCATGTGCGTTGGGTGGTTAACAGAATTGCTTGGCTTCATATGTGTGGTTCTTGGTTTGTGCATAGATGTAAGCCACCATGTGCAACTTAGGCTAAATGGGCTGGGCTTTTAGGGGGTTATTTTTAATGTGTGTGTGCTGGTTAAGAATGAGTGGGTTTGGTTGTGGTGAGGTGGTTGGTCCATACGTTCCGCACGTATTTTTGCTCTATTTTCCCTTCATTGTTTATGTTCGTTTCGGTGTGCGAGTGTCCTAAAATGTCTGGTTATTTTTTTTATTGGTCGGTTTAGGCAGTTGATGCACGAAGGGGTGTCCATCCACCTGATGTTGCTGCTCCAGTGAAGGTAATTTGTTCTGTCATTAAACAGTATATGGCGTGTGGGGCTTCATGTTCTTGTGTGTGCATAGACTGTAGTCAGTTTGTGCGTATTTGCTGTCTGTTTGCATGTATGATATGGTTTGTGCACTTGTGTAGGTAGGTTAATGTAGTGTACTGTAAACGTGTTGTAGTATTAAATAATACCACGTGTGTGGGAGGTCATCGGTCTGTGCGTAGTCTGTGTGTGTGAGAAATATGGGCACACCCCTACGGTGCTGGTATGTGTGGTGACTGCATTTGCTTTTTTAGTTTGTCTCTTGAATCAATATCGTTAATTTTAAGTATCCAGCTTTATTGCGTATGCTTGTTTAACGTAATGCCATTTCTGTAGCATGATTTGCTGCCCGTTTTCTTTGAGGATGTGGGTGTTACTGCTTTGTTTTTGAAGGTCACAAAATTGGTCCCTCGTAGGGTTCGATTTCCATGGCGTAATGCAAAGAACAAAGTAGATTGTGGCGTATGTGCGATGCGTCACATGAAGTGTTATGTTAGACAGTCCTACGCTTCATGGGACTATGGCCTCCGTAGGGGTGATGCACATGTTTTTCTTGCTTTACGCGTTCACTTCTTGTATGATATTTTTGATGTTCCAAAGCAACACACATCGGTTCGCGAATGTCAACTGTGTTATGAGGTCAATTGCTGCCGTTCGTAGAATCCCATTCGTTTATACATACACAACTTTTAACATTGTCGCCTTTTTTTAATGTATTTGAAACCTCACGACCTTTACGCACATGCTCTAACACTATTCACGCACAGACATGTGGTATTTTGTATCGGATCACACTAACATTGAACCCAACAACCATTTATTCAACAACATACATGCGCATTCCACCGTTTAACAAGTGTGGGGATTACAGTTTTATGTAATACAGGAGAACCAATATTCTTTGGGGGGGGTGCATACATTAGGTACACACATGCACCCTTACGCACACACTAGGCCGCTGTTCACGCACAGACCACGGTATTTGTATCGAATCCCACAACCAATAAAACCACATCCATATATTCCACAACGCACGTGCGCATTTCACCATTAAACATTTAGGGCGATTATAGTTCTATGGAATTCAGAGATAACATTTATACACAACTTTTAACATTGTCGCCTCACTTCAATTATTTTGCTTAGTTCCGTCGGTGTTTGTTTCCAGATGGTTGTGATTATTTGTTTTACATGAGCATTGCGTTTTACGGATGTGTCCAATGTCCTATATTCCGCTTACATTTTTGGAATCTTTTTTTTTTAAATTTTTTTTTATGTATTTGAAACCTCACAGCCTTTACGCACATGCTCTAACAGTATTGACGCACAGACATATGGTATTTTGTATCGGATCACACTAACATTGAACCCAACAACCATTTATTCATCAACATACATGCGCATTCCACCGTTTAACAAGTGCGGGGATTACAGTTTTATGTAATACAGGGAGAACCAATATTCTCTGGGGGTGGGGGGGGGGGGGGTGCGTACATTAGGTTCACACATGCACCCTTACGCACACGCTAACAACCCCAATGCATTCACCATTATGTCCTTACTACAACCATTGAGACTACCAGCGTCTACATATTTTCTTTTCGTTTTCGTTTCACACTTTTATCAAACCATACTCTACGCACACACATCCCTTAACTTTGAGTTTGTCCAATTAAAAATATCTCATACGTAAAAATCCAAATGCCCAAAAAAAATCAATGTGATTAACATTGCTGCTTTACGATACGCACATACTACAGTTCATCTGTGCACCTACCACAGTAGCTCACCGTTATCGTTGCCAGATTAATATTCAAAGTTTGCACAAGCTTAACTGCCCCTACGCACCCACCCCTACCACCTTTCTACCACCACTCAGACTACCCTCTACCACGCTTTTTCTAGTACACGGAAAACCCACAACCAACAAAAAAAATACACATTCATCTATGAATGCACAGGCCGAAACCGGTAATGCAAATACCTGTGCTGCTAGTACCCATCTTCTTCTGCGCTCGTTGGTTGTTTCTGCCGGCGCAACCTTTTGCTTTCATCGTAGATAATCTTATCGCAATATTGGTATTACGCACATGCGAACACACGACTATGCAACGACATAGTGCCTAATCATCTATAATGCACTGACTATTGTTACTCCACGCACCCGGCCCCTAAGCTCCCATTATATATACACGACGTAATAAAGCTGGAAGGGTTGCATAAGCTGGTATGCAGCCACGCTTCCACATAACTGCTGTTTCCAGAGGTTCACAAATACCCCTATTTCGTAGGTCGTTACTCGTTCGTCACGTCAACAAAAACAGTAAAAAAACGCAAATACAGGTAATTGAGGCAATGCGCATAAGACTAAATACTACCATGCAACCACCAACACACTCTAACATACGCTCCTGCGTCTAATGTCCTACTACCATGTAACCACCCAAACGCCCTTACTTTTAACCATCGTGCACAAACATACATACTATCACGTATCTACCACATTTTGACCCAACCATACTCTACGAACAACAATTTTAATCCTAGTGTTTGTTCATTGCAAAATAAAGGACAAGTTTTATCAACCACATTCCAAAAACAGATAACCAAAACCGAAACAACAAAAAACAAAAAAAAAAAAAACCCATTCCCCTGCATACGCAGTTGTATTGCAGCTGCTACTTGTCATACTCATTACCTCACATTCACATTTGACACATTATAAACATCAGTTTGCACGACATATTAGTCTGCCACGCACTCACCAGTACGCCCAAATTACACCCAAACGGTCTCCCAAAAACGACAGTTTTCGTAGTCGTTGTTGGTTTCCACACTCTTCTCCATCTCAATATACGCACCAACACCCATACAATTTGTTGGTTGTCTACTGCAAAAACTCCGTAACGGAAAAACCAATACAAAAAAAAAAAAAAAAAAAAAAAAAAAAAAAAAAACAAACAAACAAAGAAACACGCACAAACCGGGACTCGGTAATGAACACACCTGTGTTTCTACTATCCATCCTCTTTTTGCGCTAGATGTTTGTTTGTGCAGCCTCACCGGTCCGTCTACCCCACTGCTATGTCTCACGCTCATTTTTGTCTTCAGAGGTGATGTATCACGCCATGTATATTTCCTGTAATAATATCCCTAGTTTCATGCTTAACATCCCATCATAATTTTAACCATAATTAGCCAAATAGGTACAATTACTTTTCAGACCCTTTCTTAATAATAAATCTTTAATTTATTCTAGGGGATCTCATGATCTCAACCATTGATGGGGAATCAATCTATGGATATTAGGAGATCTCACATGATCATCTAATTAGGGGTACACCGGATTCGAAGCCTATATATATATATATATATATATATATATATATATATATATATATATATATATATATATATATATATATGTTTAGTACATAGTATATTAAATTGTTAAAATTAAAAAATTTAAATATAGTTATTACAATGTATAATTGTTTCAAGGGTTTTTTTTTTTTTTTGAATAATAAACTTAAAATAAATACTCCGCAATGGCCATCTCAAGCCAAATTTGGTATTTTTGTGTTAGGTTAACTAAGTTTGTGTGACATGATTCATTTAACATGTTTAATTTGGTTTGATTTAATCTAAAAGATTTAGCATTCAAAAAAAAATCTAAAAGATTTAAGATCAAATTGAGACTAAGTTAAATGGGTTTGGTTAAATTTAGAAACAACAATGTGATTGGTTTAGATGTTAAGGCTATATAAAAGGAGACAAAACCTAGTAGTTTATTGTAACAGTGGCAAATGGCACTGCAAACACCACAAATCTTCCACCAAATTTTCCTCACCATTCTCCCCAAAACAGATTCTCTGCAAATAAGACTCTTCTCACTTCTCAATTCAATATAAAAACCTCCACCCTCTTCAAGAACTTCAAACCACACACACCAAAAGCAAAAACAAAAAAAAAAAAAAAAAACAAAAAAAACAAAACAAAACAACAGAAAATAAAAGCAAAATAAACCCCTCAAAATGGATTCCAAGATCATATTCTTCTCCGTCATCCTTCTGTTCAGTAGTGGTGCAGCCATGAACATCACCACTACAGTCACTCTTCCTTTAGTCAATCACAACTCTGCAAAAACAAATTCGGTTCTTGCAACTTCTCCAGTTCCATCTCCTTCCAGCCCGACCAATGCCCCGCCAGCTAACCCGACCCCAACCAATGCCCCACCTGCTACCCCAACCAGCACCCCCCCTGCTAGCCCGAACGGCGCAGCCCCTACTAGCCCGAAGGGCGGAGCCCCTACTAGCCCGAGCACTAATCCCCCTCAACCTGCTGGCCCAATCACACCCGGGGCAGCACCTAGCCCTAGGAAGATGTTGTCACCACCACTGCCACCAAATATTATTACGCCTGCCGCATCACCTGCCCCAACTGAAGATGACTCCAGTGTGGGAAGGAGTTTGAGGGTTAGTGCAGGTGCTATTGTTGCAACAATAGTGTCATCCAATCTATTCCTCATGTTGATGGCTTGACACACGGAGGAAATATGTTCTTAGACACATATGAACATTTTTAATAGTTGTAGTTTTTGCAGGTGTGGCTAAAAAGAAACAAAAACAAAAAAAATCTGAAAAAAATAAAATAAGATTTCCGTGCTCAGTCGGAACATGCAATGGACCCGCCCGGCCGGGCGTGAGATTTGAGTCACATGCGAGTTTTTGTGGCTTTTTTTTTTTCTTTTTTGGTGAAGCCCACAGATCTAACAAAAACCAGCTGCTTCAACAAAGTCTCCAAATCTTTTCTCATCGACATAAGCTATGTTCTCCTCAAAAATTGAGCAAACTCCATTGATGGAGATGCTATAATAAAGTGTGTAGATGAAATCATTTTAGATGTGATGATTCGTACATTTTACTCATGTAAAACTTCCATTATATATCCTAATGAACCATGATTTTACTTTGAAAGATGGATTGCCAACACCATTTGAAAGACATGCATGAGATCGATATATACGATATCCTCTGATCTTGTGATTTACTCAACTAATTTTGTAGCTTTACACATTTGAATTAGCAATTAACAACATATACCATATTGAACCCCCTAACCATATGGTGATGGGCTCGACCATTACTAGCCTTTGCCACTACGCCAAAAGCTATAATTAATAGCGAAGGCGCAATTTAGCACATTGTGCTGTACTTGACCTTTATCGACATCTGCCCAGTAGAGATTGTGGCTAGTCAATTTCATATTAGAGGATATAAATTATCCTCTGATCTTCTATAACTCGAGTTTATTTCAAGAAATAAGAAACAAGAAAGTTGATAGGGGAATCAAGACTCTGATCTCTTCTCCAATTGCTACGTAGCAAAAAGGATGCCAAGTATATTTTACCTATAAACTGATTTTTTTTTTTTTTTGAAAACCAAAGGAACCAAATTTCATTAAATCAAATGTTTAATACAATGCGGAATAGAATTGAAATAATTAAGGGGACCAGAGTATGAACGTGCAGCTCTAGTTGTGTTCACTGATCTAGGAATAAATTGAAGAGACATAGAATCAAAGTCTCTTTGAAACTCCCGGCACTTGTTGATTATACAACCCGTGTAAGTATAGTCAGGCAAAGAGCTTTTAAACTGATTTGGTATACTAGTGAGGGTGTATTCAATTATGACTTTTGTAGACCTTTAAAATGATAGATTTTAATAAACTTTATTTGACTTTCATAGCGTTCGTTCATAACTTTTTAAAACTTTGTAAAACACTATAAAAATACATAAAAAATATTCATGTTGGGTAATAAGGTTGAAAAGCCCCAAAAATAATAATCCTACGGAAAGATTATTATTATATAGGAAAACAGAAAAATCTGGGAAGGAAAAGGTGGAGAAATCTGGGCAAGGGTTAGCACGAGTTGAACAGATTGAGCTTTTCCTTAAAACCTTATTTGCTACCTCCCACAAGTGCTTAAACGTGCTTGTTTAAGCACCTAAACAAAGAGAAGAGAGTAGAAGCATAGTTTTGAGAAGCTAAAACTTTCTGGAATTCCTTTTGTTTCTGTAGTGTAAAAAGCTACTGCTCTACCTCCCCCACTAACTAGAATTAAACTCAGATTTAAAAATTAGAATTAAAACAGTATTAATTCCGTAACAGATGAGTTTAATCTGCACAACAGACTGAACTTTCGAGTTTCAGACCGTTGGGGTGCACCTGTTAAGGACACGAGAGTGCACCTCTCGTGTTCACCGTTGCACGAGAGTTGTGCTCTCGGTGCACTACAACCACTCATGCTCTCTGTAGAACGAGAGTGGTGCTCTCGGTTTCCGCCGAACCAAGTGACTATATCGGTTGGAAAATGATACCGAAGTTTGGCATAACTTAGCCCGCAAGGCCAGCCAATTTTCGTACGGCATTCGTGCCCGCAGGTGCCGGCGCACACGAGCTCGGGCTCGGGCTTGTATCAAGTAAAAATAATATTATTTCAAATTTTTAGAGGAAGATTATAAAGTTCAAGAGAGAGAAAAAATTGGTAGAGTTTAGGTATGAAGAAAATATAGGATAATGAAGAAAAAATAATTTATTAATGAATTTAGGTATAAGGTTTATAAAGTTTAAATAGGGAGAAAAAATAGTTTAAATAGAAAGAGAAAACATTCAGAGTTACTAGAAAGAAAATTTTGAAATCTTGGGATTGATGGTTGAATTTGAACTATTTATATTTGAGAAGGAAATCTACCAAAGTCCTTAAATTAAAAAGTCTACAAAAGTTCATAACTTTTGGAATACCATATGACACTTTTAAAGATCTTTTAAAGACTCTTTAAAAGTCTTAATCGAATACCACCCGACTTTTAAAGACTCTTTAAAAATTTTATTGAATACCTCTTGACTTTTAAAGACTCTCCAAATATTTGAATTGAATACTTCTCAACTTTTAAAGTTTATAAAAGGAGTTAATACCATCTGAGGTCCTCCGAGTATAGTGGTTTTGCCATGTTTAGTCCTAAACTTTCAAATTGACCATCTATGGTCCTTCGACTTTCAAATTTAACCATTCGTGGTCCAAGTTAACCACCAATGGTCCTTCAAGTTTCGAAATTTAACCAGTCATAGTCCTCTTGAAAGGATCATGGTTGGTTAAAATTTAATAGTTGAAGGACCATGGGTGGTTAACTTGGACCACGAATGGTTAAATTTGAAAGTCGAAGGACCACATATGGTCAATTTGAAAGTTTAGGACTAAACGTGGCAAAACCACTATACTCGAAGGACCTCAGATGGTATTAACTCTTTATAAAAGTCTACAAATGTCAAGATTGAATACTACACCCCCCCCCCCTGTTTTTACTATATTATCGTAAATATTTTTTTGTTTATTTTTAAACAACCAGTATTTTTCACCTGTGCGATGCACGGAATGAATTTTTTGTAATATATTAATATTTAATAATATTTCAATCGATATATAATTATTTAAATTAGAACATCAAATATTATATAGTGCAATTGAAAGTAAGGTTTGGATCATTTATGTGTTTTTATGTTATCATTGCTTGAATTTTAGCAAATATTTGCTAAAATTAATAGCTAATGTGTAGATGTACGCATGCGATGCTGTAACTTTTGAGATTTTTTATTTATTTATCATTGTTCAATATTTTTATAAATTAGGCAAATGTGCTCGTTCTCTAGCAACTCAATTATAAGAATGAATTGATATCCTAATTTATTTGTATGGAAAAATATATTTTTCGTCTTGATATATAGCAATTTTGCCATTAAAAAAAAACATAATATCAGCGATTGTATTTACACATTATTGAAACCTCTTTATAGACAACATTGGTAATAGCAACTCAATTTTGTCCATTTTCGTCTAGAGCTAACACCTTCAGTCCATCAGGATGGGTGACTCGGGTGAAAATATATAATGGTAGAATATCAGTCAATTAGTGATCCTTTTATATTTTCAGTCAATTAGTAATATCATATCCATTTTCAGCCAATTATTCTTTTTTTTTTTTTTTAATTTTCAGTCAATTAGAATATTAGATGCGTTGATATTTTTACCTAATTTTCATTCCATTTTTTATTGATAGATGATGTAGAATATTTTTATTAAAATATTTCCGTTCTATTTTCAATTTACCTTTACTTATGTTTAAAATATGCATTTACTATTGATGATGTAGAATATTATTATTGAAATATTTCCATCCAATTTTTAATTTTCGTTCCATTTTTAATTAAAATGCAATGATCTAACAATTTATTTTTTCATTTTAGTCCATTATGGATCTTTTTTTATTTCCAGTAAATTATTAATATTTATTTCTTTTTATATTTTCAGTTAATTAGTAATATTAGATTCATTTTTAGTCAATTAGTCAATTAGAATATCAGATGCAGTGATATTCTTACCTAATTTCCGTTCGGACCATTCCATTTTTAATTGATGATGTAGAATATTTTTATTGAAATATTTCCGTTTCATTTTTAATAATTTACCTTTATTATTGTTTAAAATATGCTTTTACTATTGATGGTGTAGAATATTATTATTAAAATATTTCCTTTCTATTTTGAATTCACCTTTACTTGATGATGTAGAATATTATTATTGAAATGTTTTCGTTCCATTTTTAATTTATGTTCCATTGTTTAAAATTGTGAAAGATTTATGATATATTTGTAATTTGATTTATTCTATTGTGTAATATTATTGTGAAAAATTAAAATGCAATGATCTAACCATTTTCTTTTCCATTTTTAGTCAATTATTAATATTCATTTTCTTTTCCAATTAACCTAAATTTCGTTTCTTTTTTCATTTTTAATTTTCAATCAATTATTAATATTCATTTCTTTTTCTAATTTACCTAATTTTTGTTCCATTTTCAATTAATATACATCTCGTTTTTAATTTACCTTTGCTATTTACTATTGTTTGGGTGAGAAATCAAGTAAATAAGATTTTGTTTTTAATTATAGTATAGATTTGTAATTTGTAATATGTATACGGATGCTAGTGAAATGAAACTATTATTCTTCTCCCTATCATTTTTGTCTTTACTCTCTATGTTTAATTACCATAGTAAGATAAAGTGTTAAATACATGTTTGTAATATTGACGTAATATGTGCAGGTTGGCAGACTCATGCTAGTACGATACCCGTGCGATGCACGTGATAAAATTTTATGAACATTTTAGTTATGTTGTTGTAATATAAGTTTGAGATAATATTATTATTTATGTGTATTGTGTTATTAAACTAATACAATTATTATTCTTTTTGTATTTTTCCATTTTACTATTATTATTATTATTTAATTAATTATTAATTATTAATTATTAATTATTAATTATTAATTATTAATTGTTTGGGTGGGAAACACAAAGGAAGATTTTTTTTTTTAATAATAGTATATATTAAGTGAATTAGGGATCATTTTCTATTTTTTCTTTTTTACTCCTAACACTATAATTAAATTATAGAGAATTTTTGTATTTCTTCCATTTATT